GCCATCAAATCTAACAACACAACACTATCCTACACAGACTCATTCACTTGTTTGGCAGACATAAACACATATCTCTCAAAACTAGAATCAAGAAAGATAACCGTCTTATCAAAATAGTTGATATAAACATGATTGAATTACAACCAGTTCATCCCAAGAATAACATCAAGTTGATCTAATAGAAGACACACTAAATCAACTCCAAAGTCTTTACCAAAAATACTCAACTGAAAATTCAAACACACATATGAAGTAGTCACTGAAATCATAGCAGGAGTGTCAATAACCATACTTAAATTCATATCATATAATTCAAGATTCAATCTCTTAACACAATCCAAAGAAATGAAATAATATGTCGCAATATATCAATAATAGAAATCAAAGGTGTACCATTAATAAAGCACGTACCTCAGATTAGTCTATCCTCAACAGTAGTCTCAGAACTAGATAGGGAAAACACTTACCCTCTAGCTCGTTCCTTCTTCTGCTTGTCACACTTAAAACTAATGTGCCCTTGCTCACCATATTTGTAGCAAGTCACACTCAAATTTCCTCTGCAATTATGAGATTTATGACCTAGCTTTCCACACTTGAAACACTTCACATCAGAACTTGTGCACTCAAGAGCATGATGTCCTTCAACACCATACTTGTAGCACTTAACCGGAGTAGAAGCTCCTCCCCACTCGGCTTCTTTTCATCACCAGCTTTATGTTTCCCTTTACCAGCAGGAGTCACATACGACTTTCCTCTAAATTGCCCCTTTCCCTTCTTATCATGCAAAGCCTTATATTAAGCAGCACTATCTCGACTATCCTCATCATATATCCTACTCTTATTAACCAGCTCAGAAAATTGATTAATCTGCTGATAACCCATATCCTTCTTGATTTCGGACCTCAAACCATTCACAAACTTAAGACACTTAGATCTCTCAATATTAATAGTGTTGTAATGAGGACAAAACTTAATCAACTCCTCAAACTTTGCAGCATACTCAGCCACAATTCCATTATCCTTCTTCAGCTCAAGAAATTGAATCTCCTTTTTCCCACGCACATGCTCAAGAAAATACTTCTCCAGAAATGCATCTCTGAAAAATGCCCAAGTAACCTCAATCCCATCCTCATCAAATCTCTGAACAGTTACTCCACCAATCCTCAACTTCCTTTTCAAGCATATGGGTGCCAAACTGCACCTTTTGCGCATCCGAACAATTCATGACCCGAAAGATCTTCTCAATTGCTTTCAGTCATACTTTTGCTTTGTCAGGTTCATGAGCTCCTTCAAATATTGGCGGATTGTTCCTATGGAACTTTCCCAAAGCACGAAATTCATCATCATCTCTGTTGCCAGCATTGACGTGTGGCTGTTGCCCAATTGCATCGGCCGACATTGCCAACGCCTCAACAATAACATCAACATTACTTCCTAAAACCATCATCCTGAGATTCCAAACAACTAAACAACCAACAAAACTCATTAGACAAACAATATTGATTGTGTATATGACACATATCGAATACAAAAAGGAAATAAACACATTAATAACCTGGACAAATGACCAACCATGCTCTGATACCACTAATGTAACACCCTCTAAACCCCACACATAATATATGGCATAATCAGAGTAAATTAGCATGCATATCAAAAGAGGGAGTCACATTTACTTCACGACAACAATGCAATATACTGGTCATACTTATAACATACCTTTAAAATCATGTTCCATACACTAACACATATGCATCTCGCAGCAGAATAATTCTCATTTCAAAATAATACTAATAATTGAAATCCCATACTGACAATCATATAATAATGTATTAGACACTAAAGGCCACCATCACATAATCTTGAATATAACATAAATAACCAGAGATTATAACAAACATCTCTCAAAACAAACATGAATATAACAATATAACATGAATCCAAACATTCTCCGTGTTACATGACCAGAGCATGACTCACTATCTAAATAAGGGTAAACAAAGAACTAGCTCCTCCGACTAATTCTTGCTAGGAGCACCACCGCTATCCTCGATATCTGAGCGATGTCGTATAAAACATCATTTCAAATGAAGTGTGAGAATTCATATCATTATAGAAATATATAATAATAAGTAATGCATAACAAACATACATCAATTGAATTCATCACACTTCACATAATCATATACTCAACATACTTAAACACAATTCACATGATTTCACATACAACATTGCTCAATGATTCAAGATTCAAATATAATCAATCAAAAATACCACATATGTAACATTCACACCAATATCACATATTGTACACCAATTCAACATTCACATCGACCCATGTGACTCCAATGCGACTCAATGCAATATGCATGTGGTACCAATTGTTATCCTTATCGGTCTTGTCGGGTCAATCTCTCAGACAGATAACCACCAAAAAGACCGTCCTCTAAGCTTCAAACCAGTCCTCTAGGTTTGAGACAAGTCAATAATTCCCACAGAATTACCAAACATTTCCTCTTGACAACTCATGATGCATGTAAAATCTTAACATATATATGCAATTAAGACAATCTACATATCTTAATCATACAAGCATATCTCACATAATTCAACACATTTGAATTATCTTCACCAAATTGCACAACATACATACACCATGTTAACTTTCACATACAATACATACTCATAGCATTTATCAAACTCAACACATCACTATAACATGTAGCAAACAAGTCCAAACCATGTTATCTTCGATCAACATCAATTTCCAACAATTACATACACAAAATCAAGTATCATAATTCCATCGAAAAGTGCATCAAAACCAATCAAAGACACATGATTAAATTCCACAAAATTCATGACAATTCATGATAAATCATATACATCCATGATCCATAACAGTTTCAGAAATTATAAAAAATTTCATTCCAGGCCGCGCTAAGCGGCCTCACCATTATGCAGAAAACTCACCTTTGGACATCATTCTATCCTCTACGAATTTGGGTTCCAAAATCCATTCCAAACAATCATTTCTCATCATTTAAATGTATTATAACATATATCTAACATATAACATCAATTACAAACATCAAAACATGACTCAAATATCAATTTCATGATTTCACATTCAAATCCTAACATGTCAAAATTTAGAAATGGAAGAACAAATCCCTAATTTCATGTTACTATCCATCACATACCATTACATACACCCATAAATCAATGAATACCCACCCTTACCTTGGATGTAGATACTCTAGGGTTTTATCCTCTTCTCTTCTCTTTTTCTCCTCTTTCTTCTCTTCTCTCGTTTTCTTCACTTTCTCTTTCTAATTCTACATTTTTGTTCAACTCTTACTAACTCTAAATGAACTTAATTTCACTCACCTACTCAAATGTAACATAAGGTCCAAATGTGTATTTCCTATTCTCACACTCAATAACTCAATAACATATATTATGCACATATTCCAATTAAAATAATTATTTATATAATCACCCAATTTAATCAACCAATCACTTATTCACCAAAATCAAGTAATTAGATAATTATCAAACCAAATAATAATTAACATGACAATTAAATAATAAAATAACTAATAAAGAAAATCAGAGTGTTACAATTTGTTGGGACAAAAAGTTTTTCAAGAAAGTTGAGAGAAAAAGAAGAAGACACGGAGAAAAGAGAAAAACTATAAACTAAATTTGTTTAAAGCGAAAACTGTATTGGGTGAGTTGTTATTTACATCATACTATGTCCTTTATATAGACAACAAAGTGTAAAATACAAAGCTTCAAGTTACACTTCCACATAACAACTATATGATGTATTCAACTCTATTCAATATAGTTGACTCCTCCTACTTCAACCGACTACTTCGACTCAGTCAAATACTAACTTCGACAAAACATCGAATTACAACTTCTAACAATTTTTACATAAATGTATTGAAACATAAATCAATTATGTTAAACCCAATTATATTAAAATCAATTATACCAAAATCAATTATGCTAGAATCAATTATGTCTGCCGTCAATCTAAACACACTCTTAGTTGTTTACTATGAATCACAAACTCCGACACACACTGGAACCTAACACAACACGGATATTCCGAAACCGATTATATAAAAAATATAGAAGATTGATGGCTTTAATTATGCATTAATGTGTAAGAGATTTGTCCGAAATTTTTTACATATAAGGTGTATTGAAGTAATGAAAAAAAATAGTTTTTTTTGTAAAAGACTTGTTTGAATTGTCCAACATGTATCGTGTGAATGTCATACAAAAGTCGTCGGACACCAATTAAAAAGAAGAACCGTTTTTCGGAACTGACATTTGTTTGATTTGATTTTTCCAACACTTTTAATATTTTTCCGACATGTAATGTATATGTGTAATACAAATGTTGTACTCTTAGATGTGAGTGCTTAATTAATACTCCAGGTTGTTTAACTGTAACTTTGTGAGTGATTGATTGAATGTGCTAAAATATATACAGTGAATGCATTGACCGTGACGTGTTTGATAAAATGTTACAATGAAAAATATCAGAGTTTGATTCATTTTTATTGCTGTAGAACACTGCTTTTCACAGGTTTTTCCTCAACTGGTTATGTACAACTACTTGATCGAGGTATGTTCTACTTCAACACCGTATGATTATAGGTATGAATATAAGATTAATATAATACATATATTTGAAGGAAGGGATAAATAATATCAGCAATTCTCAAAGGAATTTGCTCCATAACTATAGCACATGTCATAAATGATTCGCATGTTGCTTGCTATTGTTTCAAATCTAGATTGTAAACCTCTCTCTGCATTTTGGAACTAGAATAATATGCATGCAAAGTTCTTTTGTTTCCCTCACTCACCAGCTCAAGACCTACAAAAACTGTATATTGGGTTAAAGAGCGGCATCAAAAAACGAAAAAATCTATTCAGTTTTCTCCAACAGAAGTAACATCCCTTAGTTAAGTGGTACTTCATGGAAAAGGACCGACGTGTTGACTGAATCGAGACAAGAGCGGTATCCGAGGCGATGGCGCTGATGCTTTTGCCCTTGGAGATAAGTTTTGCTGTTCCAAGATAAAAGACTGAAGCTCTGCTGGATAGTCTCGCATACAACCAATTCTAGGACCAGCACCTGTTGACCATTTTGTCGATAAATGATTTGCCAGTTGATATGATTTCATTCCTTTATGTGAATCTATTCTCTTCATTATCTTTTCTTTTGGAATAGGATTTTCTTCTTCGTTGTCGTGATCCTCAACAAACAAGTTCGATTTTGAAACCATGAAGTCTTCTTCGTGGATAAACGATTCTTCTGCTGTCTCGTAACCGCAATCTGACTCTGAGTCTGAAAGTGGCGAATATAGTTTTCTAGTTGGACGGTGTATTGCCAATACTGATTCGAAAATGTCAGTCACGTTGTCTCTCTTTGGTATTTCGAGTCTCGTTATTTTTGTTCCTAGCCGTTTCGACAATCTAGATAACGGTGGATGGGTGTTTGAATCAGCAGATGAATCCTCATTTATGTCCTCGATTTTCTCTTTGGATAATTCGATGTTTGATGGTAACTTCTCTGAAGATTTTCCTCTAAAATGATGTTCCTGGTTCATTTTCACTGGTTCGTCATCTTCCTCTGGGTTTTTCTGGATATAAGAAAAATGACAATTAGAGAGTGAATGAAAGTATGCATTAGATTGATATATTCTACACTATATGCCACTCTTTTTTTTTACCTGTACATCCGTAAGGTCGACATTATTCTCCTTAAGAAACGACACGAATTCCTGGAAATTTTCTTCGGTTGGGAGATAATGTCCACTGTGAGGCCAAACAGACTTTGGAATTGAAAAAGTTTACCGTCAGTATGCGAAATAGGGCCAAGGACAAAACAGAAAGAAAAAGACTTGATCTATCGTAGTTTATTTCGGTTTTGCTCATACCTTAAGAACGCCGTCTTCAACTACTAATCTACCAGCAGATAATGTGGCTCCGCCTGCTAGGAAGCTTGAATGTTGAAATGTGCCTTTGTTCTTTTGCCCAACATACAAAGTCTTGGAAGTGCTAAGTACAAAGATCCACTTAGCATCTTTTGTACTTTCAACTGGAATCCCACTGTCTTTGTAAAAGAGCCTCCCATTCTCAATAACTACTTCATAAGCCTTTCTTTCCTCCTTCAAAAATAATTCTATGAGTTACTTGACAGTTAAGTTATCTAATAGCTCCGAGATACAAAACATTGACACAAATACTAGACACGAAACTGACACGTGGACTTTAGTATTAGATTGATAAAGTTATATAATTGTGCGTAACACCATATGCATCGTGTTGATATCAGATATCAAATACCTTCAATTTAAAGTGTCGGTGCTACATAGGCTCTGAAAGGAAAATTGATATGAAAGAGAAGTATTAAACTCACTGGACCCAAATATTTGATGCATTGCTGCTGAAGCTTTGATCTAGAACATCTCTCAGAACCGAATTCCCTGCCACCTCCGATATCAAGCCTACATTTGCAGATAGGTTAAATTTCATTAGCTTAGTTAGAATTTCCTTTTCAAAAGGAAAAAAAAAGCCGAATTCTTTAATCTCTAATCTCACCAATAGAAGAAAGGTTGATTACTATCACAGTGTAGCCATTGAACATAATAAAATTGGAGGTTATGGCCATAGCGATGTCGAGGGTCAATCTGCACAAGTTGAAAACGAATAGATTAAGGTTCTACTTAATAAACAACTTAATTAAGCGTTTACGACACACAAGTGCTTATGCGATAAAACCATTTAGAGCTTTGAGAGTGACTTACTGCCTCTAGCCAGTGCTGCAAAGCAAGCTTCCGAGCCTTCCTATCCTTAGATAGACCCTTTCCAACCTGTTATTTAAGGGAAAACAAAACGTGAGACTGAAACAAATTACTAGTCTTTTAGCCAATAACATTAATAATTCAAAACGATATGAAAAAATTTACCTTGGCAGCTCTCTTTCTAGCCCTTGACCAACGTGAAATCGCAGTCTCAGGTTTTTCAATGTCGAAAAATGATATAGAACTGCGCTTAAGTTCGGCAAAATCCAAAGCCCTCCACCTGTTCCACATGAATGTAATTAGTCTAATAACTTAAACATGATTGTGATTTTATGCTATAGTTTGATGGAGACGATTCTTCAAAACCACCCCTCGCTAGATTTATCCACCAAGACGGAAAAATCAGTCTTTTCCACATGATTGTGTTTTTCTCGAGTCTATGTTGATAAATCTAGATGGGTGCAATCTTCAAAAAAATGAGTTGAATCAACTAACCATCTCTGTTCTGCAAGAACTGCACAATCTGCAAGCTGTCTTCTGGTTCGAAAACTTTTGTAAACTTTCTGCAATTTAAGTGCAGCTAGGTCTCTATGGCCTTGTGGCTCCAACTTTTTTGGGGAGTAGAAGCTCTTTGTGCTTAAATCATCTAAACTTTCTATACTCTTTGTGCTTAAATGTTTACCAAATAAGTCATTTTCCATATCTGCTGTTGGAGTTCTAAAAGAAAGCATTGTCTCCAACTCTCGGCCATTAATGCTAACCGATCCTTCAAGCATCATCTTCCCTGAAACTGAAGTTATCAATGAAAAAAATGTTTATCAACATCTTCCCTTAAAATTTATTGTTATGATCCATAATCATTTATTAAAATATTGCTACTTATAAACAATATTTAGAAGTTAAATTCACATTATCATCAATAATATAAGATTATTGTATAATCCACATACACAAAACTCAATCCATATAATTGTATAATCCACATTATCGATTTCTATCACACAAACATTAACCTAGAAAACAAGTTACCAACAATGCAATGCACATTCTAGTAAACCATTATGCCATGAACAACATTACTCTAGATTACCAGGTTTCTTTTCTTCAGAAAAAGAACATGAAAACATTGAAAAATAATAATTAAGAAAAACAATAAAAGCAATGTTAATAATAATAATAATAATAATAATGCAATGTGATTTAGCTAGCATTGATAATGATAATTAAAATTATAAATGCATCATACCTTGTTAATTAATATGAGACATGCAGGGGAGAAGAAAAGCTGAAGGAGATGGATGTAATGTTGTTGGCAGAGAGAGAGAGAAGAAGAAGGAAAGAAAAATGAAAGAAAGAAAGAAGGGGGTGGAGAGAGAATGAAACCATGAGGCAAATGTAAGAGAGACCGAACAATGTGGAAGAGAATTGGTTTTTAAATTTAAACACATAAAAATATAAGTAACAGATTTGTAATTACATAATAATAAACTAATTAAGTTATAGTAATGCATAATATAAAATTGGAGCATTGTAATATACATACGAAAATAACAAAGTATTAATACCAAAACAAATTTAGATTGTTTAGAAACAAAAAGAAGAAGTAACCATTAAACAGAACTTGAACTATTTATGAGTTTGAAATGTTTTTTCATGGTAAACAGGTCTGTGATTTCTTTTGCATTTTGTCTAGTTTTGTTATTATTTATTAAAAAAGATTAAACAATTATAATAATATAATAAATAATTTTATATTTTATAAAAGTTTAAAAATATGGTGAAACTTTAATATTTAGTAAATTTATATATACTATGATATTTCTTAATATAATATTTAGAAGAGAGATAATTTACATTTGAAATGAGAAATTGAAAGAGAAAAGAGAAGAAAGATTGGAAGGGTTAAAATAGTTACAAAACAAAAATAAAAGAGAAAAGCTAAAAAATAAAGAATAAACAAATAAAATAAAATAAAACAATTTGACTATAAAATTAATTTGATTTTAAGTAAAAGATAGAAATTATGTTACTTATCTAAATTAAATTAATATACTAATTGAAACTTGCAAAGGATAGGAATAATGTTTTTAAAATTAGGATCGATTATCAAACTGGTGAGGTTGTTAGATAATTAATTTATTGGTCGAATTACTGAATTGTTGGGATAATTCGAGGAATCAATACAAATAGATTTTTATATTTGGAGATTTTTCTTTTGAGCAATATATCTTTGTGAGAGACACATTACATACTCATCTAAAATCTTAAGGTGATAGGTGTGTGAATTTTCCTATTTATAAATGCTCAAAGTCTCCATATTTCTAATAAATATAGGACTTTTCTATACTACTGACACTTGTAATTCTTTTTAAACATGAATCAGTGATCGAACTGCGTGATAAAACCAGATTAAACCGAATAATTCGGTTGAATAAATTGATCTCTATAATAAAAATATATAGTTATTAAACCAGTCGAACTGAATGACTCTGTCTCTAAAAAAAAATCACGACACCTAAAAAAATTTCAAAATTTCAAAATATCATAATTTCACAAGTTCACTCTTTAAATTAAAATTCTAAACATAGTCATCACACAACAACATAATACACAATACAAATCCAAATAAATTTTAAACAAAGTCTAATTGCAATATAAACTAAACAACAAAATAAGTGCAGTGTCTAATAAATTTAATTATAAGGAGTAAAAGTTGTTCAAAATAAGTTTCGAACAAAGTCTACTTATATTTTTATTTTATTTTAAAAAAATTATCAAAACAACATCGTTTTGTTAGAGGAAAAAATGCAAGCATTTAACCCGCTATTTTTCTAATACTGCCAATTCTCCAGTTTTCATCGATTTTGAATGGTTTTGGCCGATTTCCATTGGTTCAATAACTTATATGATCTAGTAATTAAACCAAACCGATGACCCCTTTAGTTCTCGATTCAACTGATTGATTCGATCCGTCTTTTAAGACGTTGAATATGGAAAAGTGAATCTATTAGTTGAGAGAGACTTTGGAAAAGTGAAATATTTGATGACCACCTATAAAAGGGTAATGTGTAACACCCCAATTCTACCCCGGCAAATTATATAAAATAAAATCAGAGTTATAGAATTTCAATCATACAAATGAATCGAGACGTCACAAATTCTTCTAATAAATTCATTGCATTCATCATGGATATATAACACTTTTTCAAAACATCGGATGAACCATCAACATGACATCTTTCATTAAATAATTCAACAACTACGCAGCAGAATTCTTCAATAACATTTTTAAATAAAAACAACAACTTCGAAACATCTCATATTTAATAATAATCAATTCAAAATTCAACAACTGAAAAATCAACAATCAAAAATCAGCAAGCGTTCATCCCCTCCGAGTGTTACATATCAGAGCAATGACACCGACTCGCACTTTTGAAGGTATACAACATTCACTCGCGATTACCTGCACGTTACCAACATAAGGGCAACATTCAAACAGAAGGGGTGAGATATCTAATAATATAATAAAGCGCATGATAATTAATATATTAAATTAGATCACTAATATCACCATTTCTCATCTCATAATCAACAATAATTACAACATATATACTCATTCATCAACATCAAATACACTTCGTTATTCAATCATATAATGCGACTCCAAAACTATGCAAATGCATGTGGTACCATTGGAGCAGAACTCCCATCTCAAAAATCTGCCAATTAATAGAGGCATCAACAAGGCATAGCCTTCATCTCAAAATTTGCCAATCCAGGTCATCTCAACGAGCATAAGCTCCATCTCAAAAATGCAATGTATGTGACTCAAACATGAATGTAATGATAACACCCAAGTTAACAACATCTCAAATCATCTCAAAACATCTCAAATTATCATCTCAAAACATCTCAAATTATCATCTCAAATTATCATCTCCAAACATCTCAAAATACGTCTCAAAATAACATCTCAAATAATCAAAATAATTCATCAAACGTCATTTATTTATGAATCATCAAACACAACATCATCAATAGAATCTCACTAATACTCAACTGTATATTAATAGTACAGTAATCCATCATGTTATTCTGCTAAATTATATCGTTACTGTCACTAATCCTATTGTCATAATTCTAACAACAGCCTCTAAACATCTACTATTCATCATTTTGTCCAAAAAATCAGCGCAACGGTCATTTACGGGAATTAATTCTAAATTCTAAATTGGCTACTAGGATTACACTTCTTACTCATCATTTTAATCATCTAGATTAAAGTTCATCGCGTTAGCTATTCAGCGCTTCGAACGACATCTCAAACAACATCCTAAAATTCAAGTTACAACACTTTAAAACTGAATCTGTCAAAAATCAGACATTAAGGGTCGACGCAAAACCCTATGGATCGACGCGTACTGCTTCATATGTACATCATGAGTCGACACATCCTCCTTATGGATCGACTCATCCTGGTCTCAAACACAACATGTATCGACACATGCTTCTCACCGATCGACTCATCCTGAGTCTTGCAACTATCATGTATTGACGCATCCTCTCTTTGTGTCGACTCATCCTGAGTCTTACAGCCCTCATGTATCGACACATAGCCTTTGAGGTTAATGCATCCTGTTACATTCTGCACAAATTCTGCGTTTTCCTCTGTATTTACACTACGGGAATCATATTCTTAACCTTACAAACCTTATTATAATCATGATAAATCATCACCTAACATTATTCGATATTGCTACATCGATCAAACAACACAATGACATCATTATTCATCTAAAATTCATCAAATCTTCATCATACATCATCATATACATCCAATTCAAGAACAAAACAGCAGTCCCCTCTAACCCCACATATCAATCATCATGAACCCAATTATAAGGTCAGAACCCCACCCTTATCTTGGATTGAAGGTCGCTATACAATTTCCGGGTTGAATCTTTGTTCTTTCCGTTTTCCACTTTTTCCAGCAGCTTCACGTTCTCTTCCAAATCCTTATTTTCTTCTACTGCTTCTTTCTTCTCTACCTTCTCACAAATAATAAAATAACCTAATATTCTATTATTCCTTATTTCTTATTGGGCTCAAAATCTACACCCCCTTATTACTTTTACTCTCTCAAAATAGGCCCACCTTAAATAATATTACACTTCTAATATTATTTCACTACATAATATTATATCTCTAATATTATTTCTCCACTTAATATAACAATCCAATTTAATTATAACACCACCTCACAAATATTCCAAAAATAATTTAATTAAATAATTTATTAAATTACGGGTGTTACATAATGCAATACCATAATTTATATATAAATTTAAGTTATCTCTTTATTTGGTGAACTTGACAGGTGTTTTTTGAAAATCGCAAATTTTATTTTTTTTATCTGTCGCACTTGTCAGATTCATAATCTTATCTTAAAGTGGAAGAGCTTTGAATTAGATAATTTTATTTCTCTCTAAGGAGTTCTATCTCTCATTCAAGAGTTTTATTTTTAAGTTCAAGAGATTAAATAATGTCTTTAGATGCATAAATAATTTGTTCTAGTTTATTTATTTATTTTTTGTTAGTTTCTTGCAGATTCTAAAAAGACCATGATATGAGAATGGAGAAATGACCTCATTATCTTTTTGATAGTTAGCCATAAGATAGATGTTGGCTTTTTCTTCTTCTTCGTCGTCTGAAGATTATATATCATTATTTTTCCATGCAACATATGCTTCTTTTTTTTTAGATTTTCTAAAAACTT